GGACAGCCTGTCCCGGCCCAGAGACAAGGAGAGCCTGGTGCCAGAGCTGCGGCCCAGCGTGCTGGGGGTCCCAGGCATGGCACTGGTGCTTGCTATTTCCTATCATCACCCCCTAAGGGGGAAAGCGCAGGATATAAAATTGTATATAAAACGTTTTTAATTATATAGACCAGTGATCACAGCCACGTCAAATAGCAAACAAACCGGGCAGAGAGAAAAAAACCTGGAAGGGACTTTTCCCCCATGTTAGCAGAGGAGGCTTTGAGGTGACTGAAATTAAATCTTTTCCCTTCCCTTTCTGGTTTTCTGTCTTCTAGGTTTTCTGTAGTGAATGTATATTTTAATAGCTCTGCTGAGGTAGAATGGGTGTGCAAGAAATGCATGCATTGAATATATATGGTTTGATGAGTTTGGGCATATGCATAATTTATATTATTTTTATGATGGAGAAATAACAGTGCTATTAAATTAGAGTGGCAGTGTAACCATCGGCACCCAGAGCCAGCGTGGTCCATAAATGCTGGGCGGTTACCACAGTAACAGACACTGAACGTCCGCAGGCAATTTGCCATGTATACCTCAGTTTCAGACTCCTGCCTCCTCTGACTCTCCAGCCACCGAGGGAGATGGGACTGAGATTTCTACTGGCAGCTGGGGAGATGGAGTCCCTGCCTGGCGACAGCCCCCTGAGCTGTTCCAGAGCCAGTCAGAAGTCCTGGTGGGATCTGGGCTCCAGCACCTCAGCTGCGCGGCCGTGGGTTGGTCACGCCACGTCCACGAGACTCAGTTTTGCCATCTGTAGCATGGGTACAGTTGCATCTGCCCAGGATTAGAAGCTCCCGTGAGATGATAGAGGCGAGAGGGTTTGGGAAGAAGAACCTCTGAGTTGTTTGTTACACAGCAGCGCCGGCTGAGACAAGGGGATGTGGGCACAGACACATCACAGCGCCTTCAACACATACATGGCCGTCCCGTCCAGCTCTGCCGTGTATGTTATCACCGCTTGTTAGAGGTGGGGAAGGCATTTAAAAAGACTTTCCTGATCAGAGAAAGCTCAAGCTGTGGACCAGTTTTGCAGTGGGATGCGCACTCCCCTCCCCCAACACACATGTGCCTCATCTACGCTGCGCTGACCACAGTGCCGCCCTTCAGGGGTCACCCAGGCTGTTCTGACCACTCCCCAGGTCTCAGCTCAAGTGTCGCTCCTCCAGGGAAGCCGCCAAGTCCTCCACGCCAACATCTACTTCCTTTTTTTGTATCCCAGAGTCGCATGCTAGGCCTGTGACAGGCCTGGGGATGGGGACAGTGTGAGGCAGCAAGGGGACAGAGGCTCCGTCCCCAGCTTCAGCAGAGGTGCCCTAAGGAGGGGGCAGAACAGCAGAGGGAGTGAGTCCCGAGAGCCAGGACTGTGTGGGGCCCCGAGAACCTGCTCCCAGACTTGGGGACGCCTGGGACCAGAACAGGTCAGAGGAACAGCTGACCCCCGGGTCCTCCTGTGCACTGTGCAGTGTGTACTCCACTGGTTTCTAGTATGTTCACTGTGTTATGCAACCATCCCCACTAATTCTGCACGTTCCCACCACCCCGACGAGAAACCCTGGGCCTCAGCAGTCACTCCCACGCCTCCCGGCACCGCGGACGTGCCTCTCCCGGACGCTCGTGTTAACTGGAGCCACGCCACTGTGGCCTCTCACTCTGCCTCACGTTTGCAAGGTTCGCCAGGTCGTAGAGTAGCCATTATCAATCCTCTTCACAGCTGAGTAATATTCCACTGGGATCACGACGCATTTAAAGACAGGCCCCGTTCCCTTCCAGAAGAATCCCAGTCCCCTGAAGAGGGCCTGGGGCAGAGGGGAGCCTAGAAAACCCAGTCCCCCGAAGAGGGCCTGGGGGGGAGCCTAGGAATGGCCCCTGACCCTGACCACGGTTCGCACACCTCTGCCAGCTGAGGGGGCAGCCAGAGCCAGAGAAAGTAGGGACCAGTGCTGCCCCCTCGGTGGGTGCCCCACAAGGCCCAGGGCTGTGGCTGCCAGCTCCCCCTGCCAGGCCAGACAGCCCCCGCTGAGTAGCTGTTGGCCTGGCCGGCACAGAGGCAGATGGGCCTGGGGATGGGGCTGAGCAGCTGAGGGTTTGCCTGTGGTGACCAGGACCCAGCCAGGCCGCGGGGTTTGAATCTAGGCCAGGTCGGGTTGTGCTCACAGCAGCGGTGACGCCCCAGATCGGGCTCCAGCACAGCCCTCCAGGGGCCGCCCCTCAGTCAGACCCCTGGGCCCTCAAGGTGGTCAGGTGGCCGAGGCCAGCAGCTACAGGGTCAAGGTGACGGGGACCGAGAAGCCCACCTGCTCCCTGCTGCTCCCTTGCCACACAGTCTCCTGAAGCTCCCACCACACAGTCCCCTGGCTTCCCTCCTGCAGACGGGGGCTCCCAGGGTCCCGTCCAGACCCTTGGATCAGAGTCGATGGGCCCGGAACCTGCAATTGACAAGGCCCCCCGGGGTGTGCTGAGGTCTGACAGCCACTGGTGAAGCACTGACCACGCTGGGACGGGAGACCCCACTTTCACGGCTGCCCGATTCTCAGCAACTTACAGACACTCTCTGAGCCTGCTCTGATCTCTGAAATGGGTCTAACGCTGTCCTTTCAGGGTGGTCACGATTTCATGACACAACAAATATCAAATGCCTGGCAATGGAAAACTGCTCAAAAACTGTTAGCTGCAGTCGGTACTAGGTTATTATGATAATGCATCCAAACCAGATCCAAAACTCTCTGGATATGAGAGGAAGGGGGAAGGTAAGAATTAATAAATGAGACAAAGGCAGAGAGAGGGTTTGAGATGTGGGGATTTTGCCATTAGGGTCCCGGCTTTGCATCCTACCCTCTCCCAGCTGTCATTTCACCTCTCTGAGCCTCAGTTTCCCCATCTGTGTGATGGGGACAAGAACTGCCCATGCTGGAGGGCTCTGCAAACGGTACTGTGCTGTCCCTTGTCAGGATGAGGGGCCGCTGTGTGGAGGAGGGTGGGGGCCTGGGGCTGATCCAGACCGACGGCCGGCATCCGGGCAGCTGGCCTGGGCTGGCTCGGTCCTCCCCGCGCTGGCTCCCGCAGGCACATCCCCGGCGCAGGACACAGCCGGCTCCTCACACCCCAGCCGGCAGGCGGGCGAGTGGGGCCAACTGGCCTGCTGACAGGACACCTTTCAGGCCTCATCACATCAGTGTGTCCATCAGACCCCTTGCCAAGCCTGTGTCTGTTCTCGGTGTGGAGGGAGATGGGCTCGGGCACTGAGCTGGGTGCTGAGGTCATGGTTGGCAAAGCTGGCCAAGCCGCTGTCAGCCTCGCCTGCCCCCGCCCGGCCTAGGCACGCACCTCCATGGAGAGTCCCAGGGCGCCCCCCGCCTGGTGCCCTGCGCCCCGACCACTCAACCCCTCCTCCCACCCAGGATCCCTGCTCCCTGAGGCAGGACAGTAAGAAGCGAGGGAAGCTCCTTGACACGTGGAATAAGGGAAACTGAGACAAAATCATTAAGGCCAAACAATCTGAGCAATTTACAGCCAGCTGATAAACCACAAGGTTTTATCTTCCCCAACGAAGGACACTTAGGAGCAAACGGTTACACATTCCAGACCGTCCTGGGGCAGACCGGCCTCGGTCCCTGTTCCTCTTCAATGACATTCTTGATGACGTTCTTGAAAAATGAAACTCACCAACCAGAAAATAATCCCTGACCCCTCTATTTTGATGAATCAACATCCTGAAGGACACACCTGAAAAGCTAATGAATATCCTGTTAGGACTCTAGCCTGAGACTTCCCCTAGGATTCCAGGTGGCGGAAGAAAAATAAAAAGCTTCAAGACGCCCGGCCGGTATGCTCAGTGGCTGCGCGTTGACCCATGAACCAAGAGGTCGCTGGTTTGATTCCCGGTCAGGGCCCGTTCCCAGGTTGCAGGCTCGATCCCCAGCAGGGCCGTGCAGCGGGCAGCCGATTGGTGATTCTCGCTCATCATTGATGCTTCTATCTCTCTCTGCCCCTCCCTTCCTCCCTCTGAAATCAATTAAAAAAAAAAAAGCCTCAAGACCAAGGAGCCACTGAGGCCTCTCACCAGAGCCCAGGCCTCGTATCTCTGCTGTTTTTCTCCTAAACGCTACGTGACCCCACGAGACTCACAACCAGAGGAGCAGTGGGCAGCAGCAGCTCGACCCGGGCTAACCCCCGGAGCCTGTCTCCGAGGCCCCCTTTCCCTGACTTTCTCTCCCCTGTTGCTTCTCCTACCTTAAGCCCTTCCTTGGTTTTACTGTCTCCAGCTTTAATAAACATACCCTCACAATCACCCCGCAGGAAGTCAAGCACCCACACACTGCGGCGGGCCTTAGGCGGACCCCCCGGGCCCAGACCCCGCCGGTAACGCTCTCCCTCCTCCCGTCCCAGCAGACGCGCTGCACCTCCACACGCGGCCCGGAGCGAACCAGACACGGAGACCCCGCCCTCAGGAGGCCCCAGCCTCCTGGGGGAGTCAGGGGTGTAAACAAGAACCGAGTGGCGCGGCCAGTGGAGGGAGACACGGTAACTGAGGGCCCAGCCAGGGGTCAGGGATGGCTTCCAGGAGGAGGGGGCAATGCGGGTGGGAAGGGGCACACGTGTGCAGGGCTGGAGCCCCCATCCCAGGGCGGACGGCGGCCGAGCGGAGGAAGCGGATGGGGCCTCAAACGCCACCCCTCGGGGAGGCCCTGAGCAAACCCCTGAGAAAGACCCGCTCAGTCAAGGAAATGCAGGCGTCCCCTTGCTCTCTGACTAACTCACACCTTCTAGGACCAGCTGGTAAACCAGGAGGCGGAGGAGCCGTGAACCAAGGCAGGAGTCACTCGGGCTAATTAGAACCGCAGAGCAGTCAGAGAACTTCAATTACCGCTCTCGGCGGGAAGGCGGCCGCATCTCCCACAGCTGGGTGGACTTCGGGAACCGCCCACCGTGCGGGGCAGTAAGGGGAGGCGGGCGGAGCAGCTCCGCGTCACTTACAGGGGCAGGTGGCTCCTCCGCAGGGACAGGCCCTCGGGGGAGCCGGAGACGGGCTGGCTTGAAGCCGAGAATGGTGAGAACAACTCCTGTCTTCTTCGGCTCCCCCGAGTTTCATTTGATGCAAAAAAAATAGATAGAAACAAAATCGCACTTAAGTCCCAACCCTGATTCCAGCTGTGTGGCCACTACGAGAAACGTGGGCTGAGTGAGGCTGCGGAGGGGCCGGCTCCCTGGAAGCCATCGCTGACCCCTCTCCGAGCTCGGACCCGATGCCTCGGAGCGATCCTTTAGTCCTGGGGTCAAACACACAACCACCTCTCACCCGGGGGGCTCCACTCTGCCATTCCACCCGGGGGGGGGGTCAGGGGGCCCGGCTCCCTCCTGGACCACCACCACCTCGCTGTCCAGCCTCGGCTCTGGTGCTCGGCCACTCAGGACCTCAGTTCGGTTATCTGTAAAGTGGGCAGCGGTGGCTGGACCGGGCAACCAGAAATTCTGCAACGTGCCCAGGGACCGGAGTTGCCATGTAAAAGCCAGGACACAATCGTTCTTCATGTAGGTATATCCCAAATATGATACGGGACATACACACCCTATAAAAAAATTTGTTTTCTGAAATCAAATTTATTTTGGGCAAACTGTCCATTTGTTTGCTAAACCTGGTGACCCTGTCGGGGACACAACCTATTCTAGATCCACGAAGCAGTGGTGCCAACAGGGTGGGCGAGGGGAGGGGAGGGGAGGGATGGCCTCCCGTAAGAATCCCTCCAGCTCAGTCCCCTCCGCCTGAGAATGACCAAGTCAGGAAAAGCAGATCCCAGGATTTCCGAGGGGCGCCTGCAGCTCTTGGGGCTCAGCTAACCGTACATTCGTCTCATTCCACAGCTGAGGAAACCAAGCAAGACGGGTTGAAGGAATTCCCAAGGTCACGCAGCCCCCGAGAGGAGAGGTCAGGCCCACAGCCCTGCTTCCCTCCCCGCCTCTGTGTCCAGCAAGCTCTGGACGCTGGCCCTCAGCAGACCCTCCAGGGAGGTTCGCTGAAAAAAACGAACGACACAGATGGGGGGGGAGGGATAAACGGACGCCACAGCGAGGACAGGAGCCTCTTCCGACTCAGAGGCAGAGGGAGAATTCCCAGTTTAAAGCGGGAAGGGATCCCAAGGGCAGCCCCACGCCAGCAGTAACGCAGACGCATTCGTACCGGTTATGGCGTCCCGGGCTCATTAGCAAGTCCCCGGCCCCCGGGGCGGTTAGCGGGCCGGGCAGGGCCCCTGACACCGGGGAGGGCCTGGGCCTGGGGAGCAGCTGCCCTGGAATCCAGATGCCGACGTGACAACATCAAGGAAACCTCAGTCGCAAGCCCCGAGTAGCGCCATCCTGACGGCCAGACAGAAGGACGGGCACATGGAGCGGGTGTGAACACGCGCGGCCATGGAGCCGACATCGCCTTGGCGCCCCGAGAACCCCTAGGGCGGGCTGCTGTCGTCCAGCCCCACTGGGTGACAGGGACTCAGCGGCGCCCTCTGCTTTGTATCTGGGCAGGAGTCTCCTTTCCCCTCAGTCTAGCTATCGTCCTCCGCTCAATAACACGGGGGGTGTGACACGCACGTAAGCGGTCACGATGAGGACGCTGAGCCCTTCTTAGTGCTGGCGGAGCCCAGCCCTTCCAGAGCGCACTAGGTGTTACCCTGTGGCGATTTATTTATTTTTAAATATATTCTTTTTATATATATATATTTTTTATTGATTTCAGAGAGAGGGAGGGAGAGAGAAAGAAACATCGATGATGAGAGAGTCATTGATCAGCTGCCTCCTGCACGCCCCCTGCTGGGAATCGAGTCTGCAACCCGGGCACGTGCCCTGACCGGGCATCAAACCGACACCCTGGTTCATAGGTTGACGCTCAACCTCTGAGCCACGCTGGCCGGGCACCATATTTATTTTTTTAATTTTTAATTTTTTTTATATTTTATTATTACTTTTTTAAAAATATATCTTTATTGATTTCAGAGAAAGGAAAGGAGAGGGAGAGAGAGAGACAGAAACATCAATGATGAGAGAGTCATTGATCGGCTGCCCCCTGCACGCCCCCTGCTGGAGATCGAGCCCGCAACCCGGGCATGTGCCCTCACCGGGAATCGAACCCCGATCGCCTGGATCCTAGGTCAACGCTCAACCGCTGAGCCACGCCTGGCCGGGCAATTTTTTTAATATTTTAAATGTGTCTTTTATTGATTTCAGAGAAAGGAAGAGAGAGGGGGAGAGAGAGAGAAACATCAATGCTGAGAGAGAATCATGGATGGGCTGCCTCCTGCCTGCACAGCCCTGCTGGGGACGGAGCCTGCAACCCGGGCATGCGCCCTGACCGGGAATCGCACCGTGATGTCCTGGTTCAACCGCTGAGCCACGCCGACCGGGCACCGTGTTTATTGTTGAACAATCTAAGATGTCCTTGCCTTTCTGCTGTCTTTCAGTTGCCTCCCTCTGTGTGTCTGACAGATTTGTTTATCAAATTCGCTCACGTCCAGCCCTGGCCAAAGNTGTCCTTGCCTTTCTGCTGTCTTTCAGTTGCCTCCCTCTGTGAGTCTGACAGATTTGTTTATCAAATTCGCTCACGTCCAGCCCTGGCCAAAGTGACCCAACCCCAGCCCACTGGGCCAGCGTCTCCCGTTACACTGAGAAAGGACGCTGAGCATTTGCCTGTCATAACCCATTACTATCGTCTGCATTTCATACCTGAGAAAGATAAAACCGTCTCGTCTTCCTCACTTCTTCATTCTTACTGTCAAAACACTCACGTTCCACTGCGGTGGGGTGAAAGGTGGCCCTGCAAAAGGTGTGTCCACCCTCCAATCCCTGTAAACGTGACCTTACTTGTGAAGAGGGTCTTTGCAGGTGTAGTAAAGTGAAGGACCTTGAGAGGAGAGCAGCCTAGATTATCCAAGTGAACCCTAAGCCCAGTGACGAGTGTCCTTAGAAGGGACGCACTGCAGAGGAGGCAACGTGACAAGGAAGGCGGACACTGGAGTGACACGGCCACAGGCCAAGGAACGCGGGCAGCCCTGAGAAGCTGGAAGGAGTGAGGACGGCTTCTTTCCGAGGGACCCGGAGGGAACACAGCCCTCCCTCGGGCCTCTGGCTGCAGAACTGTAAAAACCAACCAAACAAAACACTCCTGTTGTTTTAAGCCACTGAGTTTGAGGCAATACAACATGGCAGACCCAGAAAACCAGCACACTCACTAATCAGAAACGAGCATCGCCCGGCCGGCGTGGCGCAGCGGCTGAGCGTCGACCTAGGATCCAGGCAATCGGGGATCGATTCCCGGTCAGGGCACAGGCCCGGGTTGCGGGCTCGATCCCCAGTCGGGGGCGTGCAGGAGGCAGCCGATCAATGACTCTCCCATCATTGATGTTTCTCTCTCTCTCTCTCCTTTCCTCTCTCTGAAATCAATAAAGATATATTTTTTTAAAAAAAGAAAAGAAATGAGCATTGATGATGGTCTACCTGGCCAACAAGGACCCAGCAAAAACAGGACACGGAGAGTCTGGGACAATGGACTTAATGATTTCATGAGCATTTATTACTGGAAACCCAGCATTTTGAAGTCACTGTCTTAGACAATGAACTGAAAAGTCCTTAAACTATTTTAAACTATTCAAAAGTGGGTAAAAATACATTGAAAGGATATAAAGCAAAGTCACCATTCAGAGCCACGATGCCCTGTACAGTGTCCACCCGCCACATGTGGCCCCGGGGCCCCTGAAATGGGGCTAGTCCAGACCGAGATGGGCTGCAAGCATACAACACACACCAGACTTAAAAGATTCAGTGCGAAAAACAGAATGTGAAATATCTCAATAATTTCTATACTGATTCTATGCGTGCCCACCTCCCCCACCCTCGGGACGCACCCACAGGGAGGGCATGCCCTGACCTGGAGAGGAGGCCAAGGCCCAGCAATGTTAAGACACTCACTCGGGGTCACACAGCTGCCAGGCAGCAAAGCCAGAATCCAAACCCAGGCCTGTCTGACTGCAAACTCCGTGCTCCCGGCACCAACTCGAGCTGCTCCCAAGGTCACTCCTGTCTTCTCTAGATCCTGCATCTCGGGGCCAAGCCTGGGCCCAGCATGTCTCTCCGCTGGGGCACCGATCGTCCCTCCGGCCCGCGCGCCAGGCAGACACTGCGCTGCGGCTGGCTCTCCCCTCTGCCACCACAGGCTGCGCAGGGGACTCAGCAGAGCACCAGCCTCCCGAAGGGGAGTCACCGCCGGAGTCACCGTTAGGACAGAGGGACCTCAGGGACGGTCGACCCAGAGACGGCTTCCAGAATGGCCCCTTCATTCTTCAAACAAGCCTGCCCTGTGCCCAGCTCCAGGGAGTGACGTGTGAACAGACAGGCCGAGCAGGAAGACTGGGAGGCACGCGCCCGCCTGGCGCTGTCCCCGCGGCCTTCACTTGGGAAAACCAGGCACCGTCCCTCCGACAGGTGAGAGAACCAGCGCCTGGGGCTCCAGTCTCGCCTCCCTTTCGGCAGCCTGTGGCCCCCACGGCAGAACCCACAGGAGAATCCACAGCCACTTGGCCTGACAGGTGGCCGGGCTCCCTACAGACAGAACTGCAGCCCCAGGGCCAGATCCAGCCCAAGATCAAGAATGTTTCCTGCCTTTTTATTTTATTTTTAATATGTTTTTATTGATTTCAGAGAGAGGAAGGGAGAGGGAGAGAGAGAGAGAACCATCAGTGATGAGAGAGTCATTGATCAGCTGCCTCCTGCATGCCCCCCACTGGGGGTTGAACCCGAAACCCGGGCATGTGCCCCGACCGAGAGCAGAACCGCGATCTCCTGGCTGACGGGTCGACGCTCAGTCACCGAGCCACAGCTGCCAGGAAGTTTCTGCCTTTTTAACGGGCTGTGAAACAAACAGCTCACAAAGACCACAAAGCAGAGGAAAATATGCAACAGGCACTGTATGTGGCCGGCAAAGTCTAAGATACGGACTCTCTGGCCCTGGCCCGTGTGCTCAGTGGTTAGAGCATCACCCGCTCACTGGAAGGTCCCGGGTTGGATTCAGGCCGAGCGCACGTACCTCGGGTGCAGGCTCGACCCCCGGCCCCTGTTGGGGAGCCAGCGAGAGGCAGCCAGTCGATGTGTCTCTCACATGGATGTCTCTCTCTCTCTCTCTCTCTCTCTCTCTCT